TGGAACAAGCGCTATTTTGGCTTTGATTGCACCGGCACGGGTTCCGGCCAATGAAGATGAAATGGAGGCTCTGCCCACCCCCGTCACAGGCAGAAGGAAGCAGAGGACCCCGTGGTGAGCTCAGGGCGCATCAGGGCCGGGCAGGCGCCGAGCTGGGCGTCCGCTGAGCCCGAGGGCGCTCCTTCCCGGCTCTGCTCTCTGCAGACGCGAGGCCCGGAGCTGCAGCTCGCTTCTGGTTCTGCCTGAGCCGCAGCTCTGCGAGGGAGGCGCCTGGAGAAGGTCTCTCCCTTTCTTCCTTTTCTCCAGTACGTTCTCTTCAAAGCCTCGTCTCTGCTCTTGGCTCGGGACTCACCTCGGTCGAAGCACGGTGCTCACGGACAAGTGCCTGCTGCTGGCAGCCCCGGGTCTGGCCCCAGACGTCCGAGACACTATCAAAGTGAGGGACACGCCTGCTTTCTAACAGGAAATGTAGAGAAAACACCACTCGTTCGCTCTCTCCCTCACTCACTTGCTTCACTCAAGTGTAATCTAAAGCCAGATCCCAAGCATAATGGGATGTTACAGCCAATATTTAATTTTTTCCCTTTCATTAGATAAATAGTATTAAATTGGGATCCTTGAGAAAATTGTGCCAATGGTATCATACTTGAATGTATTTTGAGCTCAAGACTCACTCAGGCGAATTTTCATCATATGCAAATCACCATCATTATGCAAATAGGAGCATCCTTGCCGCCATGCAAGTGTAAAATGGGTGTTTGTTTTCATGACGATGAATTAACTCTCCCCGTCGCAGGCTGCAGTGTGCAGTTCAGAAATCTGCGTGGGCGCTGCTGTTTGGTGTCCAGACAGTTCTGAGGTTCCAACGTAAGTCTCACCAACTGGACAATGCGAGGGTCTCCCATTCAGGAATGTCTTAGGGTCTGGAGTCAGTTTTTTTTTATTTTTTTTATTTGACAGATTGAGTTAGACAGAGAGAGAGACAGAGAGAAAGGTCTTCCTTCCGTTGGTTCACCCCCCACGCCGGCGTGCTGCGCCGATCCGAAGCCAGGAGCCGGGTGCTTCCACCTGGTCTCCCATGAGGGTGCAGGGCCCAAGCACTTGGGCCGTCCTCCACTGCCCTCCCAGGAGAAGATCCAGGGATCTTGCTGGTGGTTTGGCGTCTGTGTGTCTGCAGGATCCTTCCCACAGACGGCTCACCCAGGTCCTTCCCTGCTCACCGTCAAGGTCTTCTGAGCAGACCGAGCACCACGGGCCTCTGGGGCTCCCTCGAGGGGAGGAAGTCACGCAGAGCAGGGATGTCTCACTGTAGGTGTGCGGTGCGAGTGCTGGGTGAGCCACCTGGGCGTCCTGAGCGTGCTCCACTCAGCCCCCGGGCGGTCGCCAAGGAGGGTGCTGTTGTCAACCCTGCTCCGTACGCGAGGAAGTCTAGGCCTAGAGACCTCTGACAACTTGCTAATACACGTCAGAACCTGGACTCAGGTCCACGTGCAGCACCCAGTGCTGGAGCCATGCAGCTGCCAGGGTGGGGCAGCTGAAGGGAGAAGCTTGGGAAACGTGGGAGCACAGGTGCCCTGGGTGCTGGCAGAAGGGGCAGGGGACTTGGCACCAATGAGAACAGGAGCCCGCGCGGGGGTGGGATTTGCACTGATGAGAACAGGAACCCCGGGCCAGGTGGGGGGGGGGTTTGCACTGATGAGAACAGGAACCCGGGCCAGGAGGAAGTGGGGGGTCTAGGCACTGATGAGAACAGGAGCCACGGTCCAGGAGGAAGGCTTGGGACCTTCTCCCCCAGCAGACAGGACCCTTCCCCACCTGATGTGACTTAGGGGCAGTGATGTCGTGTGAGGGCAGGAAGGAGGGTGGCTGTGGCCCTTGGCATGAGGGCATGGATTAGTGCCAGTGAAGAGACCAAGTGAGACAGAGGTGGGGTCTGGGGCAGTCAGGAAGGTAGAGGGGAGGTCTCCAGGGACCCTAACATGCTCTCCTCACTGACCCATCTCCATCTCCATCTCCATCCTGACCCCACCCCCATCCCCACCCCCACCCCACCCCCATCTCCATCCCCATCCTGACCCCACCCCCATCCCCACCCCCATCTCCATCATCTCCATCATCTCCATCTCCATCATCTGCATCTCCCCACGCCACCTACAGATCTAGATTCCCATGAGCCTCCAGGCTTGGCAGGGTTAGGGCTGTGGGCGAGGACCCCAGGCACTAAGGGATGTCCTCCAAGACCCTGGAAGCATCTTCTTTCAGGTCTCATGTGGTGGGGCCGTTCGTTCTTGGTTGTCTGACATCGCTTTCTGTCAGCCAGGTCTTCCTGTCGGGGAAGAGTCAGTCTCCTATTGGATACAGTCCAGCGGGCCATTCAGCTGGACAGCCTGCTTTGTCTAAATCTGCTGGGGGACGACCCATGCCCCGTCCCTGGAATTGAATCTTGACCACCACGGGGCGGGACCAGGGTGCTGGAGTTCACTCCTTCCTGGGGAGGCACTGAACCATTTTCTGCTGTTAGAACCTCCATAGGTGACTGCCTGTTAGATGACCGCCTGAGACGCGTCCCTCAGGCTCCCTGTGTGCTGTCGCCTGGGCCTGAAGCTCTCACAGGAGGTGGCAGCCCGCTAGCAGGCCTGAGAGAGAGCCATTCCCAGCGTGGGGTCGTGTAAGACTTGCAGGTGCAAGGTCAGCTGGGGCCGGGCTCCACCCCTAAGGGAAAGCTCGGTGACAGTGCAGGGCGGGGCCACGGAAGGAGGGTGGACGCTCCTCCCAACTCCACTTCCCCATAGGCCTGCAGCCGTGGGGGCCCGCGGGTCAGTCGAGGGCCCGGCGAAAGGCTCCGGACTATTTCTGAGTCCAGAGAATGGAGAGGGGGGAGGGGAGGCGTGGAGAGACAGCAGGTCAAGGTGGAGGAGGTGCTTCCGTGGGAAAGAGGTCTGGGGTGGCCCCAGCACGGAGCCTCCTGAGCCGGGGTGGGAGGCCGCCAGTCCAAGCCCAGCCGATGCCTGGGGTTAGGCTGAAAGATCACACCAGGCTGCGGGTCTCCTCCTGTCGTGCTGTGAAGGCCCCTGTGGTCTGCTGCCCCCCAGGACTGGGAGCCAGAGCAGGTCCTCACTGGTCTGTGTCCGCTGCCCTGCTGCCTGCGGGCCCCTTCCCGCCCACCTGGATCTCCTGTGGAACCCACCGAGTGCTTGGCGTGGGCTGGCGCAGCGGGGTGTGGAGGCGTTGGGCGCATGCACACGGCGGTGTCCTCACTGGTCAGCCTCCAGCCAGCCCTCCTCCTGCTGCTTTGATTCTGGGCGTTAGCTCAGCCTCAGCTGGCCTGTCCCGTCTGGCTCTGTGCACCTGCCCCGCCCCCGCCCCGGCCCTGGGCCGGTTTGCCTTCCTGTGGGCTCCTTTCGTCGCACCCTGGCTTCATCCCCTCTTCCTGTTCAGGTTCCTGGACGTCTTGTCCTTGTTTGCTGGTGAGAAAGAGTGAACTACAGAGGCAGGCCGCAGCGCCAGTGAACCCCAAAAGCGCCAGGCTAAGGGAGAGAGGTGTGAGCGTCTACACGTCATGGATGCCGTTTCTAGAGAATAGCCTGGAAAGGTGTGCAGAGGCAGGCCCCTGGAGGGGTTCAGGGGCCCACGAGGGAGTTCAGGCTGGGGGACGTGGCGTGAGACCGCGCTGTGCGACGGTGGCACAAGCTTGACGTCCCCGTGTCCCCGTGCACTCCGGGGTGGATTTTACCGTGTGTAAATACGGCTCCAGAGAGCCGCTCGGGACAGCCAAGGCAGGCGAGGCCCCGGAGTCCCGGAATCGGCCGCGTCTGCAGGGATCCGCTCCCGCTGCTCCCGTCTCTTTCCTGGAGACCCCAGTCCTGGAGGGCACCCTCTGCTGGCTCAGCAGGGTCATGCGCCCACCAAGGTCATGCCCGGGGCAGAGAGGCTCCCCCGCGGAGGGCAGTGCTGCCCAGAGGGGACAGCGCGGCAGCCTGTGTCCTGCAGCAGCCCACAGCTCTGGCTCCCAGGCCCCTGGTGTCTGGCCGTGTGCGTGGCTCCAGCCCCTTCACCCACTAAAGGCAGAGACAACGGTGCCACTGCAGGACTTTGGCTACTAGTGACATCTCATCTCCTTCCTGCTCTCCGCAGTCCCTGGGCTGACTCACACCTTGCTTCCTCGTCCAGGAAGTCTCCGTGGACCCCAGGGTGGGGGCTTCCCCTCATCGCCCCCACGCTGCTCCGGACCAGGACCTGGGGCTGCGTTGCTGCCTCCGTCACCGAGCTGGGAGACCTCAGAGGCGCTGGCTCTGCTGTGGCTGTGGGCCCAGCTCTTACACCTCAGTGTCAGGCTCCCAGCAGGCACTCGAGGGCCGCTGGTGGCCTTTGTGGAGGATGTCACAAGGCTTCGCCACGGGAAGCTGAGCTGTGTCCAGCAGAGACAAGCAGGAGACGTCAGCGGCGCGGTGCCCAAGAGCAGAGGCCGCTCCGGCTGCTGCAGGTCGTGGGGCAGGGTCCTGGGGGGCTCCGGAGTGGGGCCTGCTGCCATCCCGGCTCTGCTGTTAGCTGGACCAGCTGGGGCACGGGACCCCTGCTGTTGGCTGAGCTGCGCCCTGAATGTGTTGTCAGAGGCACCCAGCGGTGACTGTGTCTGGGGACAGGCCCTGGAAAGGGAGATGAAACGAAAACTGAGGCCATTAGGGTCCCGTCCCAGCGTGGCTGACGTCCTCAGGACAGGCGACACCAAGCGTCGCTGGGAGACGAGGGGAGGACACGCCACCTGCCAGCCCCCCCCGGAGGCCTCGGGAGACACCAGTCTGGTGACCCCTCGACCTTGTAGCTGCAGCCCCCCTTCGGCTGTGTCAGCCGCTCCATAGTTCCTGTCTGTGACAGCCCAGCCAACTGTGAGGTCCCCGCCGTGCCGAGTCCTCCGGGAGCGTGTGATGGCTCCCGTCAACAAACCAGAGGGTGTCTTAAGTAGGACCCTTGGGCTTTGTAATAGATGTGACTGACACAGGTAAATGCCAGAGTGTATTTAATGTGCGCAGTTTCGTGCGCTTGGAGCCAAGTGTGCACCTATGAAATCCCAGGTTATCTCTGTGTTTTGGTTTTCAGAGATTTTTGTCTCCTACAACTGGTAGACCTTTGACCCCATCTGTGAGATTAATCGTCCAGAAAACTGTGAATTAATTAGGTCAGCAGGAAACAGGGACGCTTTCTGCTGCTGTGCTTGGCAAGTTCTTGGGTTTTCTTGGCTGCGGTGCTGCACCAAGCCCAGAGCTGTGGAGTGGGAAGCAGGTCTCCTCCCAGACGGACGCTCAGTGGCAGCGACAGCCTGTGGAGCCGGGGTGCGGGGCTTGGCATGGATGAGGGCTCCGGCGTAACTGGTGGCGTTGGTTTCCTAGAGGCTGGGAGCCTCATGGCACCTGGTGAGGAGCTCCCCTGCGTGGTGTGGAAGGGTGAGGGGCTCTAGACCACCCGGTTTCAGCTGCAGCTCTAGATCTCCTCTGTGTGTCTACCCTGGGGTCGTGTCGGCTCATGCGGTCCAAGGTCGATGACCACGTGCTTGCAGAGCCCAGCATGCCGGCGACACCTGCTCCAACCGGGGCCTTCAGTCAGCATGGGGGCTGTGCAGGAGGCGTGAGAATGCTCTCCTGGGAGCTGGCTTTGAGCAGACCTGGGGCAGAGGCTGCGCCGTGGGGAGGAGTGGCTCTGTCCGGAAGTGGGGCTGCAGCCTTGTGCGGCTCAGACGAGGAGGGAGGTCAGGTCTGCAATGCAGCGTGTGGTCTTAGGCTAAGCCACGTCTGCGGCCGGATCAGAGCCTCCCGGCACCCTGTTTGGTACCTCACCTTCTTCCGTGTGCTGGGATGGGCGGGGCTGTCTGTTTCATTTCCGAGTGAAGCATTCAGTGGCCAAAGTTCACGTTTGATGTTTGTTTGAGGAACACGTGGATGCACAGGAGTGGGGGTGACCCCCTCTGTCTGTGTGCCGATCAATCCGAGAGCTTCCACCACTGACCCTTTACAGCCCTGCCCCAGATTCACAGAGAGCATTAGCTGTGGACATTGATGGCTGAGGGCTGTCCTTTGCTTACCTGGAGAGAGGCAGGGTACACAGCGCTCAGATTTCCACCCTCATTAGGAAGTCCCAGTAATCAGCTTTGATTCTTTGCAAGACAGGGAGAAGACGGCGGCTTCAGAAGAAAACACGTCCTCTTCTTCCCTTTGTGGCATCGCTCACGCTAATTATCACAATACCACTCAGATAACTCCACCACTAAGGCGCGTCCCTGGCCCCTCGCTCACTGCCCTCTTCCTGTACCTCGTGGGAACCGCCGATTGTGGAAGTGAGGGGCCTAGGCCCAGAGATACCAGGTGGCCCCCGGTCACGCGCCTGGCAGACGGTCAAGCTGGAAATGAGGCCTTCTGTTCACACGCTCTAGAATGTGGGGTGTAAGGGGGGAGGGGCCGAGCAGCACGGGGTCACGCGGTGGAGGGTGGCGTGGCACGGTGGTGGCATGGAGAAGGTGGCTGTTGAAACTGTTCTCAGTGGGACCAGCAGATTGTCCTGAAGGTCACTGTCCAGGACAGCCCAGGGTGGGCGGACCACAGAAGTGTCCTTTCTGCAGTCGACACAGCGCGGCCCCCACGTGGCAGGTGGATGCAGGGTGGGCAAAGGGGTGATGTCCAGTCCCCAAGGAGAGGCAGTCCCAGCAGGCAGGGGCCGGAGGAAGCACTGGACCAGGCTCCCGCGGGGGAGGGGGAGGGCCTGCAGGAGGGAAGGGTGGGTAAGTGCACCTGTCTGGGTCTGGCCAGGAAACAGGCCCCTCCTGGAGGCCCCGGTGAGCCCCTGGGACAGCAAAGATGTAGACGCAGGATGCCGAGGGCACTCACAGGAGCTGCGCTGTCACCACGTACGGAGGGGACTGCGAGGCTGGGGCACGGTTGCCAGTGCCCCTTTGCCAGGGGAGCCTTGCAGCGCCCGCCTCCTGCCTCCTGCCCTACCCCCGTCCCCGAGCCCTCCGTGGGCCTGGCTCGCTGGCAGTCAGGCAGTGGAGTTGAGTCTCCCTGACCCGGAGCAAGGGAGAGGTCAGGAATGGGTGTAGGGCAGCATGGGGGGCGCAGGGCTGAGGGGAGCTGGGAGGGAGAGGACCCCCACACGGAAGGCTTGGCTTCGGCTCCGTTTCAAAGCCAGGAGCACACACAGAATGGACACACTTAAAGTAACACTGCTGTGCGATCCCGGTGAGCGCCCAGATGTTTTGTTGTTAGGTAATAATGAAATTGGAAAAGGAAATATGGTATTTATGGTCATACATTATTAAAATGGAAACCATGCCCCATGGAATCCGAATCTCTTTCTTTTCTAACCCAGCTGAGGGTCCCTAAGCTTTTGGGATGTAAATCCTGTTTATTCAACGCATTAGGCACTGCGATTCAGATTATTTATTAATGGTGCTTATTTAATTTGATGTCTTGGGAGCTTTCTGCGCGTGTCTGGTGTCATTTGGGAAGCAGACCTTTGTTTCTCATTTTTGTTCCTTTAAAGCAGTGTTGAGAGTGAATTATTCATGGGATTGTTTCATGGCGGGGGGGGGGTGATTATGTTGAGGCTCTGTGTCATTTTCTCCTCGTTCATTAGGAATGCCAGGAGTCAATTAGCTGGCCCGAAATTAAATACAACAAATATCTCATTGCTATGTGGCTTAATTAGTTTTTCCAGATTCCTTTTCATTTGTGGTAATAGTTTCTCGGTGATGATTTTTCAGACAATGAGAGGTGGCTGTGTGGCATTCTGGCAGAGTTTTCTGGACCGAACGGACGTGAGGCCAGGGCCCGGACTTTAACCACCTTCCTAAGATTGCTGGTTACGGCTCAACGGGCATCAGTGACGTGTAAGACACCGTGCGGTGTGAATTCAAGTACAACCGGACTCCATTCTCACAGTGCGATTGTGTGTCAGGGAGGCCCAAGACCAGTGGTCCTGGCCATTCCAAATTCTGTGATTTCAGCCGTTGGTAACCTCACCCGAGTCTGGCGAATATGCTGCAAGTCAGTGGCAGCGACGTTGCAGAGCCACCCTGAGGGAGGAGGCGCCGTCACCTGCGGTCCCGCCACGGAGCCTGCGGGACGCTTGGCGGTTTATGTGTTAAGATTCTTGGTTGTGCAACAGGAGTCACTGTGCTCTTACTCCTCACGTGGGATCTGTCCTTCATGTGTTGTCCAATGTGAATTAATGCTATAACTAACACTTTATGTTCTGTGTGGGTGCAAACTGTTGAAATCTTTACTTAATATATACTACATTGATCTTCTGTATATAAAGAGAATTGAAAATGAATCTTGATGCGAATGGAAGGGGAGAGGGAGCGGGAGATGGGAGGGTTGCGGGTGGGAGGGAAGTTATGGGAGGGAAAAAGTCATTATAACCCATAAACTGTACTTTGGAAATTTATATCTACTAAATAAAAATTTTTTAAAAAAAGATGCTTGGTTGCAAATGACAGAAACTCAATTCGAGCTGATTTAAGCAAAGAGGGGATGTGGCTCACAGAACCACAAGCTTTACGGGAAGTGGGAGCTGCAGGCACAGAGGGGTCCGGGTGCACCAACACCTGCGTCTCTGTCTTCCTCCTTCTGAATCCAGACGGCGACTGCCAACTACGCAGCTCACACCTGCTCCTCGCCTCCCGGCAGCCCGGGCAGCCCTGGCAGCCGCTTCCTCTCCTGACGGCTGCTGCACAGGCGCCAGGGCGAGGCTGATTGGCTCCGATTTGGTCATGTGCCCCTCTTCCAACCAGTCACCACAGAGGAAGTCTGCCTGGCTGTCCCTGCACCACCTGCCCGTCCTGGGACCCAGGCGAGGTCGGCCCCCAGACTGCTAGGAAGGAACGGTGAGGCCGAGCCGCTGGGGTGGGAGAATGTGTCGGCACACCCGTGCTCCCTTGTTGACCGCGGGCGAATGTGCCCGAGATGCTACCCTTCCTGCTGCCTGATCGTGTCTCCCGCTCTCAGCGTTTGAGCCACTGTTTCAGGAGGTTCTGGCATCCAGGACTATGTTTGTCGGGTGCCACATAGGGCGCTGGGGTGAGGGTGGGGAGTCACCCGCCTCCTGCTGGGGCTCCCCAGGACCTCTGGTGACATCCCAGACCCGAGTAAACTTTCACTGTCCCTGGTGTTCTGCCCCCGTCACCCGCGGCCTTGCAGGGTGTGTTCAGAGGTAAGACCCGGGTCTCAGCCCTCGCCCGGGGCGAGACGTTAGGAGCGGCCCCTTCCCTGCTCGGTGCCCGGCTCCACAAAGCTGTAGCCCCAGGGGCTCCAGTCCAGAGGGAGCCGGGTACTTCCCCGACAGGAGGCGGAGTCTTTGGCCACCTCGCTGGGCCTCCCTCCCAGGACCGTCCTCTCCCGGCTCAGAGCCCGCCCGGTTTCCCTTTCCCCCGTGCGTCCTGGTTTGTCCAGGGCTGGCCCAGAGAGCCCAGAGAGCCCTCTCCTTTCTGTCCTCCCCGCCTGCCAGGGACGCACACCCGCCCGTCAGTCTGCCGTCTTGTCGTCCGTCTTGGCCTCAAGGGTTTCCCTGTCCTTGGAGGGTCTGGGCATGCGTGCATCTCGGTCACGGAGTCAGTCAGCCAACAGTCAACAAGCAAATACCGCATCCTAGCTTCAGCTGGTGCCGGTGGGTGGGTACCGGGACCAGGACAGCCCACCCCCGGTGGGTGGGTACTGGGACCAGGACAGCCCACGGGCCTGGTGGGTGGGTACCAGGACCAGGACAGCCTGCCCCCCGTGGGTGGGTACCGGGACCAGGACAGCCCGCGGGCCTGGTGGGTGGGTACCAGGACCAGGACAGCCTGCCCCCCGTGGGTGGGTACCGGGACCAGGACAGCCCGCCCCCCGTGGGTGGGTACCAGGACCAGGACAGCCTGCCCCCCGTGGGTGGGTACCGGGACCAGGACAGCCCGCCCCCCGTGGGTGGGTACCGGGACCAGGACAGCCCGCGGGCCCGGTGGGTGGGTACCAGGACCAGGACAGCCTGCCCCCCGTGGGTGGGTACCGGGACCAGGACAGCCCTCAGGCCCGGGCACAGACTGAAGCCCCTGCACTTGGAGCCTGTGGGCGGAGCCGCCAGAGCCCCGGGCTGGGGTGGGGGCTCAGCCAACCGGAGGGTGGCCTTTGTCTTCCCTTCCTGCTGCCTGTTTGCTTCTTTGTATTTGACATAAATTTACACAAAATGGAATTCAGGATTTAGAGTGTACAGTTCAGGGCTTTTCAGTATCTCAGGAGGGCTGTGTGATGGTTATGACGACATAATTCTGGAACATTCTTACCACCCCGCCCTCGGAGGAACCCCATGCCTGTCAACAGTCACCCCGCTCTCCCCTCCTCAGCTTTGTCTCCTGGGCGTTTCCCACAGGGAACGTGGCGGGGGTGGAGTCACGGAGGACGCGGCCTTCTGGGGCTGGCTCTGCGCACCGCGTGTTTGCAGTGCTCACGCGTGCTGTAGTGTGTGTCATTCCTCGGGCTGGCTCTGCGCACCGCGTGTTTGCAATGTTTGCAGTGCTCACGCGTGCTGTAGTATGTGTCGTGCCTCTGGGGCTGGCTCTGCGCACCGCGTGTTTGCAGTGTTCACGCGTGCTGTAGTGTGTGTCGTGCCTCTGGGGCTGGCTCTGTGCACCGCGTGTTTGCAGTGCTCACGCGTGCTGTAGTGTGTGTCATTGTCGGGCTGGCTCTGCTCACTGCACCAGACACCAGGTCTCTAGCAACAAGTGACCCTGCAGAAGCCACAGAGCCGGAAGCTGCACTTGAGGAACCCCCGGTTGCAGCTCCTCACAGCATGCGCCACGTGAACTGGAGCCACCTGTAACATGGGGGCAGCGTGTGCAGCTCACGCCGCGGGCAGTGAAGGGGCAGGGGAACGTGACGCACCTGCTGCGCCTCCTGTCCCCAGCAGCTCCGTCCTCCTCTAACTCCTGTGGACCGTGGGTGCCCCAAGTTCCCCGGGGATATGTGACCCCTCAGAGGTTTGCTCTTACTGTAACTGTGCAGTGGGCCCGGGCAGCAGGCAGTTGAAACACCAGCATCAGAGCTCCCGGCATCGTGGCTCCTACCTGCGGTTTCCACCTGCCCCGGGACTCGGGCTGCTGACCTCACAGATGCTGGAGACGAAGTCCCAGAGCCCAGGCTCGGCCCTGGTCAGGTGCTGGGCTCCTTGTGGGCCAGCTGCAAATGCCCACTGCTCTCCCAAACTGCCTTCTCCATGAGGCCTTTCCCACGTGGAGTAGGAGCCCTGAGAGTGAGAGGCCGCCTTCCTCTGAAGCAAACATGGCCTCCGTTCCATCGCCAGGGGACAAGGACTTGGACACCTGAGTGCATAAAATAAGACAACTGGCACCTGGGCGCCGTGCGCCTTGTGAGTGACCGCGGAGCTGTGTTACTGCGCCACTGAGCACTGCGTGTCCGATCAACACAGCCTCACCGCAGTGCAGCCGGGTCCCACGGTGCTGACGACACTGTTGGTCCCGTGTGGGGGGCCTCGGGCTGAACATGGTGTTCTGTAGTGGGTTTAATGGGGAGCCAGACGAAAAGGCTTGGCTTCTACCTTTGCACACGAGATGGCTTGGAGGAAAGCTCCACAGGACGCGAAGACACTCCGCTGTTTGTGCCCTGGCTGGAGAGAGGCAGGGCTGAGTTCTTTGGGCGGAAGCAGCCCGGTTCCACGAGTGCCCTGCACAGCTGGGGGAGGGGGAAGGCAGAAAGGCCGAAGGGTTGCCTTTGAGCTGACTGCAGATGCTGAACTGCCTAGCCATGCCCTTAGAAGAAACGCATCGGCATGGCCTGTGACGAAGCCGGGCTGAGCGCCCAGTGGGACTCGTGCCCCCAGCTCACAGTGCCGAGGGTCTGGTCAGTCTGCCGCGAAGTCCTCAGAGGGTGACATTCACAGGCGAGAGGGAGCTGGGCTGGTCTTTGGCACTGGGGCCACCGGTTGTTCCCATGAGAGAGAACTGCATCCTTACCTCACACCGTGCAGCAAAACGGAGTCCAGAGAGGTGGAGAAAGGAAGTAGGAGAAAATGAAACCGAAGCAAAGAAACGCAGGTGGTCCATGGTCTGTGGTCCTCTGTCAGCAGACAGAGGTGGTCTGTGGTCGCCAGTTGGCAGCAGACACAGGTGGTCTGTGGTCCCTGTCAGCAGCAGACACAGGTGGTCCGTGGTCCCTGTCAGCAGACACAGGTGGTCCGTGGTCCCCTGTCAGCAGACACAGGTGGTCCGTGGTCGCCCGTCAGCAGCAGACACAGGTGGTCCGTGGTCCCTGTCAGCAGACACAGGTGGTCCGTGGTCCCCTGTCAGCAGACACAGGTGGTCTGTGGTCCCCTGTCAGCAGACACAGGTGGTCTGTGGTCCCTGTCAGCAGACACAGGTGGTCCGTGGTCCCGTCAGCAGCAGACACAGGTGGTCTGTGGTCCCCTGTCAGCAGACACAGGTGGTCCATGGTACCTGTCAGCAGCAGACACAGGTGGTCTGTGGTCCCCTGTCAGCAGACACAGGTGGTCCGTGGTCCCTGTCAGCAGACACAGGTGGTTCGTGGTCCCTGTCAGCAGCAGACACAGGTGGTCTGTGATCCCCTGTTAGCAGACACAGGTGGTCTGTGGTCCCTGTCAGCAGACACAGGTGGTCTGTGGTCCCTGTCAGCAGCAGACACAGGTGGTCCGTGGTCCCTGTCAGCAGACACAGGTGGTCTGTGGTCCCCTGTCAGCAGACACAGGTGGTCCATGGTACCTGTCAGCAGCAGACACAGGTGGTCCGTGGTCCCTGTCAGCAGACACAGGTGGTCCGTGGTCCCCTGTGAGCAGCAGACACAGGTGGTCCGTGGTCCCTGTCAGCACCGGGGGACGAGCCCGAGGCCCACCCGGCCACCCTGCCCCGCGCGAATCCCTCTAGTGCAGAGATCTGAGCTGGGGATGCCTCTGCCCTTCCTGCAGCAGCTTGCATGACTTTGGGGGGCTTGACCTTTGACTTTGGAGAGTTAGAGTCTGGGAGGAACTAGCACGTGTTTCCGGTGTGTCGTCCCACGTACTGGAGCCCGGGGCCAGTGCTCACCAGCCTGCTTCCTTCCCCGGGGAGACCGCCTGGGACCGCGCAGCTTAGTGTGCAGTAGCGGGAGAGCTGGGCCTGGTGTCTGCTGTGGCGGGTGCTGGCTTTGCTCGGGGTGCCCCACACTCTTTGCTCCTGCAGGATTCATGTCTTGGCTTCCTTACTGGTGCCGTGAACAACTTTCCCTGGAATTTCTCGGTGTTTTAGTTCTGGGACGTGCTGGCTGCTCTTGGCCCACCCATGCTTTTTCACGCACTGGCATTTTGTTGTTACCGATGTCCAGAAGTCGTTTTGAGAACCATGGTGAAACTGCCCTTCCTTGGCCGGCGCCACGGCTCACTAGGCTAATCCTCCGCCTGCGGCGCTGGCACCTCGGGTTCTAGTCCTGGTTGGGGCACCGGGTACTAGTCCCGGTTGCTCCCCTTTCAGGCCAGCAGTGGAGGATGGCCCAAGTGCTTGGGCCCTGCACCCGCATGAAAGACCCAGAGGAAGCACCTGGCTCCTGGCTTCGGATTGGCACAGCGCCAGCCGTGGGGGCCGTTAGGGGAGTGAACCAACGGAAGGAAGACCTTTCTCTCTATCTCTCTCTCACTGTCTAACTCTGCCTGGCAAAACAACAACAACAACAACAACAACAAACCAAACCAAAACAAACAAACAAAAAAAACTGCCCTTCCTATCCATGGAACATGAACCCAGGTCCACTGGACTCCCGAGGCCTGGTCACAGGGATTGTCCGGGTCCTGGGCCCGCGGTCCTCCTTGGGGTGAGGGAAGCAGGCTGGTCTGTCTTCCAGCACCAGGCAACCTTGCGAACTTTGTGGGTCAGGAATGCATGCTCTGGGGGTGGGCGTTCCGCCCCGGAGGACCAGGGCGGCGGTTGACCAGGTGGCTGGGCTGAGTTCGTCGGAAGGCTGCCACACTCAGGTTTGAGACTGGGGTGGGCTGGTGGATCTCCAACACGGGCCCTTCCATGGGGCTGTGCCGTCCAGTCCGGGCAGCCAGACCCCGTGCAAGTACTCAGTCCACGGCATCTCAAAGCTCTGGCGAGCAAGATGGAACCGACTCTGATCTAAGCTCAGAGGTCACCCAGTGTCACCTTCGCCACTTCCTGCAGGTTCCCGCTGAGGCGCGTACTCACACTTGGGGACAGGACCCCCCCTGCATCGGGGGGACACACAGGCTGGGGCGGCGTCGTGGGCGACTTGGGGAAGCTCCGTCGCCTGGCGAGTTTATGACGGGCCTTCCTTTGGTGGCGGGGCTGGCCTCCTTGGAGGAGGCCGACTGTAGGGGTTGGTGCTGGGTTCTTCAGCACCCACTAGCAGCTGCTTCTGTGGTCTTGGCTTCCCTGACCAGGCTGAAGGCAGAATGCCGCGAGCACTGGTGCTTGGCGGGGCGGGGCTCCGGGGGAGGCCTTTGAAAAACTTACCTTTTAGAAAAATATTTATTTTCACCTTATTTGAAAGGCAGAGAGATAGCTGGAGAGAGACAGATCTTCTACCTGCTGGTTCACACCCCCCACTCCCCAAATGTCTAACCGCTGGGCCAGGCTAACATCCCGAGCCTGGAACTCAATCCAGGTGGTGGCAGGGACCCAGGCCCCATGACCTGTTGCCTCCCAGGGTCTGCATTAGCAGGCAGCTGGAGCTGGAAGAGAAGCCGGGACCTGAACCCAGGCACTTGGCGTGGGACGTGGGCTCCCCAAGCGATGTCCTGGCTGCGGCCCCAAACTCGGCCCCGTTACTGTCTGGGGGGGGAGAAGGCTGCGCCTCCCTGTTGGGCTCATTGCAGGAACAGCCTGCGTGTGCTTCTCAGGAGGGCGTGCCATCGCTGAGCCCAGGGCTGCCGCGTCTTCTGCCCCAGCAACACCGTTTAAAATGGCATGTCTGACACTCACCTGCGCTCAGAGGTGCGGCGACCTGAGCACAAAGCCGAAATGTGGCACGACGGAAGGGTGTGCGTGGCAGTCAGCATTTTTCCAGCGACGTACGTGGAAATGAAGTCAACAAACAACCGCACCTGGGAGAATCTGCGGCGACGGTCGGTATCTGTTCTCGCCAAGCTGTGGCACTTTCTATGCAGAAGAGAGAGACGCTAATGGGACAGGAGCCAGGGTCTGCTTTTCCGCTCCTGCGTGGGAGAAGCTGATCCGCGGGGATTGTACCTCTGACTCCGTGCTGACTGATGTCTTTACGCTCTAATGCGAGCCTAACACCAACAAGACTTTGGCTCAGAAGTTGGATCCCCATGGAGACAATTTAACGCCACGCTAAGCAAGTCTGCGCCTGGCCCTGACCCTGCAGGAACCCCGTACATGACGAGGATGGTCAAACAGGCAGCTGCAGGAGGAGGGCCGCAGCGTTTCGCAGGCCTTAGCAGGGATGGCAGGTGGAGCAGCTGGGACACGAACCAGCGTCCCTGGGGGATGCCGGCGCTGTAGGAGGCAACGTCAGTCACAGCCCCGGCCCCGTGGTCTGCATTCTTTTACGACCAGGAAACGTCTCAGGCAGGTTACGAAAACTAGCCAAGGTCACACAGCTGGTAACTCAAACCCACAGAGACGCCTGGCCCGGACGTAGGCATCTGGGAGTGGATGCCGGATGGGAGGTTACTCTGTCATTCTTCCTTCCAAATGAAATCACTGAATGAATGAGTTAATAAATGCATTTAGCTGTTGATACTGCAGGGTAAGAGGACGGCAAGAGCCGGGGGTGCTGGTTACACATACCCGGGCCAGGCGACTGTAATCAGTGACACTTGCCGGGGGCTCAGTGAGGAGAGGTCTGAGCGCACAGGCTCAGATGGGAGGATTCCAAGCAGAGGGACCCGTGTGTGCCCCGTGGCAGGGGTGACGCAGCAGGGAGACACGAGGAGGGGGTGGTGGCTGGGCGGGGGCTGCAGCTCTCAGAGGCTTGGCTGGGTATCCTCTGTAGGACTGCAGCCCTTCCCAGGGTAGACTGGGAGCCTCGTCCGTCCTCTACCGGAGTGGAAACAGAAGCCCGCGTCCGAGGTCCAGTAGAGGAGAGGTGGAAGGTGAGCCCTTGGGAGCTGGGGCTCATGCGGTTGGAACGAAGGCTGGTGTGAACCAGGCACTCGAATGGCAGCCAGCCCCCCGCCCTGGAACACGCTTCTCTCCACTGTCGTCAGTCCCCAGGTCGTGTGGTGGGGAGTATAGCCAGGAACGTCTAAGTTTCCCACCCTGTATCCCGATCTCCAGACGGACGGCATTTCCCCCCCTGCAGGTGCGAGGGTCCTGGGGCAGCGTTGTGATTGGTCTGGCCAGTGATGACCTCCAGACATGAGCGACTTCCCCTTCTTTCTTGGGCTTGTGGTACCAGCTGCAGCAGCACCGTAGGGGATTTGGGGACCCTCCCCTCATCAATAAGCACCCACTCAAGGTGGGCACAGGTGTGTGTGGCTGGCTCTAGTTTTGCCAGCTGAGAGCATTGAGCCAAACCCCTTTTCAGGCTCACTTTGGAAAATATTTTGAGATGTGTGATGAGCACGTTTCGAGCACCATTTGCTCATAATGGTTTTCCAGCAATTATTTCCTAAGTGGCTGGTGATGCCGGCCTGAAAGGGAAAGACCAGGGGAAAGCCTGCCAGCCCAGATCCGAGTGGAGGAGCAGCCGTGGCCAGGCTGGACTGCAGATGGTGGCCCCGAGGGGCCGTGCTTGGCAGAAGGCATGGGGGCCGGGCTGGTTTATCCTCACAGCAGGGTGGCCCGCCTGGGAGGTTCCTCCTGCTGGCTGTCTTCTCGCGATGGCCAGGAGCCTCCCGGGATGGCCCCGCTGCCCCAGCCCTAGGTTCTGTCCTGCAGCTGGTCAGGGCCACCGTCCACTGCCCCGGCCGGGCTCCATCCTGCTCACCACCGCTGTGTCTGACCCTTGCAGCACAGGACACATGGGCTCACCACATGTCAGGCTCCTGCCTGGAGAGACCCCCGTGGTCCTGGCAGCAGGTGCTGCAGACCCCGTGCCATGTCCCCGGTCCTTCCCCCACTGCCTCAGCCCCCTCGTGGCTGGCATCGGCACCCTCGTAGAAGCGGCCAGCAGCTCTCCTCTGTCGCTCGCGTGTGAGCTGGCACCGTCGGTGAGCCAGGAGGCAGCCCTCTGTGGGCACCCGGATCTTGGTCCAGACTCCCGGCTGCTGGGGTCACTCCATCTTTATGTTACAGCCGCGATGGAGGAGGTGGAGGGTGCAGCCAGCAGCTTCCTCTCTGGAAACGATTCCGTCAGGAAGTCGACATTGTAGACCCAAGTGTTGGGTGCCTGGGCCCCTCTGGGAGTGATTTGTTCCTGCGAAGATTTTAACAAACAAGTATGGTTCAACTCCAGTGAGGACGCACACAATACCAAAGGAGAGGGGGCTGGGGGGGGGGAGAGAAAGAGAGAGAGAATGAGCACAAGAGGAAGAGAGAAGTCCCTCATTAGCTGGTTCACTCCCCAGTGGCCTGGTGGCTGGGACTGGGCCAGGGACAGTAGGCAGAGACTCAGTCCAGGTCTCCCACAGGCGTGGCAGGAACCCAGTCACATGGGCCTTCACTACTGCTTCTTGGGGTCTGCATTAGCAGGGAGCTGGAGTCGGGAGCCGGCGCTGGGAATTGAATGCAGGCACTGGGATAAAGGCCCCCCCACCCTGTTTTAACTTGTGTTTTTTTTAAAAAAAGATTTTATTTACTTGAAAGAGTTACACAGAGAGAGAAGCAGAGGCACGGGGGGGGGGGGGGCTTCCATATGCTGGTTCACTTTCCATTTGGCTGCAACAGCTGGAGCTGTGCTGATCCAAAGCCAGGAGCTTCTTCCAGGTCTCCCACATGGGTGCAGGGGCCCAAGGACTTGGACCATCTTCTACTGCTTTCCCAGGCCACAGCAGAGAGCTGGATCAGAAGTGGAGCAGCTGGGACTTGAACTGGTGCCCTTATGGGATGCCTGCACTGCAGGCGGTGGTTTTACCCGCTACGCCACAGCGCCGGCCCCTAAACTTGTATTTTCAGAAGCACAGCAGGTGCAAGGTGAAGGCTGCAGACAACCAGCGCTCTCACTGGGTTCGCCTGGCCACTGAGGGTTTTCTCAGCTGGAGAACAGGGGCTCGATCATTGTCTTCATTGTTAACACGAGGCAGGCTTTACAGATGTCATTCGACTCATGAAAACATCACAAAACACTGCAGCACTTTGTTCTTGGATGGGGAAGCAGGTGTCCTGCACTGCCATCTGCACGGCACTAGGGGGCACTGTAGGCCCACTGATGGGGAGAGCGCGCCGGCCCGGTGCCATGCACCTGTTCTCCCCAGCTGTGCAGAAAGGGCTGGGTGGTGCTGTCCAGGTCCAGGCGCTCCTTCCTGAAAAGAAGAAAAGCAGCATCTAACGCTGCCCCGGTTTCCTCTTGTGGAGCAACTCCGAGCTTTCAGGACGCCCTCCGCCTCGCCTCTGCCGGTGATGTCACTGGTCAGCCCTGGACACTGACATCTGCTGGGAGACGCGTGCAGGGGTGGTGGAGCCGTCACGGGGCGCAGGGCATCATGCTGGGTGGAGCCCGTGTGGGACTTCCGGGGTGGGGACGGTCTTCATGAGGTGCTCTGTGTGTGTGCAGCTGTGTTCAGAAGCGGCCGCTCACGAGGCTGTGGGAGTGCCCGCGTCCTTGACTTGGGGCGCCCACAGGGGCTTTGTCAGGAGAACACACAGAGCCGATTGAGCCCGACACGTCCCAAAACGATTATTTCACTTTGTTCCCAAAGGACCCGCTGACAGCTCCTCGGGCAGACACCGCAGCTGGGCCCGGTGTCAGAGGTCACTGGGGGCGGCGCCATGGGCTGGCCTCCGACCTCCCTTTGACGTTGGCAAAGGCTGCAAATGGACGCCGACCTCCCTTTGACGTCGGCAAAGGCCGCTAATGGACGCCGCCTAAGCCTTTGGCTCCTGGCGGCTCAGCCCCTGGAGGGCGGGATTAGCAGCCGCCCCGCCTATCCCTGTCATACAGGCTTGCTCTGGGGATGGGGGGGCGCTACTTTCCCCCGCACCCACGGGAAAGGCTGTGTCCCCGACAGAGGCTCTGTCTTCCGCGAGCCCAGCCCTGAGTCCTCCCTGAGGAGCTTGGATTTCAAGTGGACAGAAAAGCGAACCGTCTGGCTGCTGGGTTTGCTCCAAACTGCTGCACTGCTGGGCCTCGGATGGGCCTGGTGTTGGGGCCACAGTAAGGCCGGATTTCCCTTTGGTTTGGGGGCTCAGGCCAGGACGCTGTCTGTCCCTGGGAGGCGTGGTCTGGGGCTGGCATCCCCCATGTCCTCCTCAGTTGGTGCTGAGCCCCGAGCCCCCACAAGCAAGGCCAGCTTCCTGTTGTTTGGCTGCAGCTAGGACAGAGCTGGGCCCTCGGGACTGGGGGCCCCAGACAGGGTTGCAAAGATTTCCCGTGGCTTGGGGCATGGCCGTTAGTGCTACAGCGTGGCAGGCCTGGTCAGAGGTGGGGAGCAGGGTCCAGAGATGGCGCTGGCCATGCATTCCTGCCCTGCCCCTGCCTGCGGCCTCATGGGAACACCAGGAGATCGGGGTGAGGCAGCTGCCCCAACCTGCTTGCAGGCTCCCCTGCACCCCCAAATGGCCTTGCATCCTTTGCCTCTGGCCAAGACCCCTGGCCTTGCCTTTCCTGGCTCGGCTCTGGCTCACCGAGGTGCTGCCATGCCGGTGTGGGTCTGTGTGCCTTCCAGGCAGGTCAGGCCCTGTGGCTTTTGTGCTGGCCCCATCCGAATCCGGCCCCCATCCCCGCAAACCTCACCCCACTGGGTTGCCCTGGACTCCTGCCCACAGGCCCCGTGCTTACGTGTGCCTGTGTCCCACTGTCCGTCCCCGTGAGAGCCCAGCCTGCCGACGGCCACACCTCCGACACTGCCCAGGGAAGGGGTCTGTGTACATCTCTGTCCTCGGAGTGCCCCAGCCCATGAGGACCCCCCCCCCGGAATTCACAGCACTCGGTATCTGTAGCCCCCCTCCCACTGTACTTTGAAGTGTACCCTCTGCCCTCGTGATGCCTGGGAGGGCCCCCAGAGCCTGCGAGCTCCTTGGGTGGTGCTAGTTGGCAGATGCGCATCACAAAGTCACGGTTTCAGCTGCCGCAGCCATCTCTCCCTGCGCTGGACCACGCGCCCTTTCCTGGAGGGAGGGGGGCGGTGGGCGCAGGCCGCGCTCGTTGAGTGTTGAGCAGAGACTGTAGACAGCGTTGAACCGTGCGTCCTGGCAAGCCTCACACCTCCGGCCCGGCACGGCCGTATTTCTTGCTCCCCTAATCCAGGGCTCGCAGGTGGGCACCCACACCTGGGAGTCAGCCCCGCCCCCTCCCTGCCACTCTGCCATTGCTGGTGGTCTTGGAGCTCTCGCTTGGACTTTCCCTGGAAGAGGTGAAGAGTTTGCAGCCGTGCCGGAGCCTGCACGGGCACCCCCGGGAGACGCGTCCACCCCTCCCACCACAGTCCCTTTGGCTGCGTTGTGGCTCCAGCGGGGAGGGTGGGGGGTTTCGGTGAACATTTGGCGGCCTCTGCCCCGGCCACAGGGAGTGCAGGTAAAGGCACAGGTTTAACTGTTCCCAAGAAGCACAGCGCGTAATTCAGACGCTAGGGCCTCCTGACCGTTGAACCAGGAATCCGGGACTTGAGGCAAACAGGGCACTGCACCGATGATCGTGGCAGACAGGCGATCGCTTTACGATGAACACAGGGGAGGGGCAGAGGGAGGACAGCAAATGGCCGGCAGCTGCTGCAGCCTGGTGACCCAAGAGCTCGGGGCTCAGCCCCTCAACACAGGAACGAACTCTGCCACAGGAGCCGCAGGTGGTGGGGCTCAGCCAACGGAGGCAGCTGTGCCGTCAGGGGCACCTGATCCACCGGGATCCTGGCAGGGCAAGCCCACAGCGAGGAGCCACAGGAGGTCGGCATGACTCGCGGTGCTCTGCTCGCTTGTATTTGGTCCACGGCCAGGGGACCGAGAAACAGAGACTTCTGTGTGCTGGGAAGGAGCGAATGGCAGATCTCAGCAGAACACCAGTCACGGGGCACCCACGGAGGCGTGGCGAGGCCCCCACAGAGGGGCTCTCCCTGGAGGGACCGGCTCCCCCATCCTGCCTGGGAGGGCGTGCGCTGTCCCCAACAGCCTCAGTGCACTCCAAGCCAGAATGCCGCTGCCCTGGAAAGGGACCGCTCATTATCCGGCTGCCCCGCTTTCTAGCCACTCCGAGTTTTGGGGAATTGGTAGGAGTTCCCGAGGGTCCCTCCTGCCCCCCCCCCCAGGAGGGGCTCATCTGGCAGCTCTGGTGGGGAGAAGAGGGCGCGTGCCCTGGACTGAGGGTGGTGGAGAATTCTGCATTCTTCAGGCACCTGCCTGGCGGGATGTAGAAGGGGACATGCCACCGACGTCGAGGGAGAGTGGGTCAATGACGAGGTGAAAACCAGCCGGTGCTGGCGGCTGCAGAGAGAGGCGACACTGCGCACCCAGAGAGGGTTGCAGGTGTTCACGGGATGCCGCCGGTAGTCAGGCCTGGTGCAGGACGTGAGCAGAGACCCAAGGGTCCTGTCTTTGTGGCACCCACAGACCCCTCCACGTTCGGGGCCCCTGGGAAGCGCAGGAGAGCGGGCCTCCTCCTGTCGGCACCAGCTCCCTAGGAAGACAACAATGCCTGGAGCAACGCCCCAGCCACAGGCGCCAACAATTAGTGCTATTTAATTACCAGCAAAATTAGCCTTGCATATTGATTTATGGCCCTGCAGCAGCAACACTCTCTCAGAGGGATGGGATTTCCCACAGTTGGTCTGAGGGGGGCCAGGCGGGCGGCCCTGGGCCACGGCCGAGGACACAGCGGGCCTCAGCGCTTGCCTCGCCCACGATTGGTTGTGTTGACCACCCAGAGAAGATCAGATGCATTGGCTAGGACAGCACTCGGGGGTGGGGGTGGGGGAAGGGAGGGAGCGAGCGAGCTGGTTTTTTTTAAAAAAAGATTTTATTTATTTGAGAGGCAGGGTTAGAGAAAAAGAGAGAGAGAGAGAGAGAGAGATCGATCTTCCATCCACTGGTTTACTCCCCAAATGGCTGCAACAGGCTGGAGCTGTGCCGATCCGAAGCCAGGAGCCAGGAGCTTATTCCAAGTCTCCCACGTGGGTGCAGGGGCCCAAGGACTTGGGCCATCTTCCACTGCTTTCCCAGGCCACAGCAGAGAGCTGGATAGGAAGAGGAACAGCCGGGACCTGAGCCAGTGCCCGTATGGGACGTCGGGGCTGCAGGTGGAGGATCAGCCTGCTGCGCCACAGCGCCGGCCCACAAGCTGTTTTCCATTTCATTTTAGCCACTGATTAGGCATCCGGACTGGCGGCGCCCACGGCAGAGACCCCTGTGCAGCCCCTGTGCATCTGAGGGACGAGCTCCACGCGTTTGGCGTCCGCGGACCTGTCAGTCACCTCTTATCATGAGGACACAGAGGGATCCTTGGCGGTAACAGAAGAGGCATCTGAGGATCGCACGTCAGGGGGAAAAGCCAGTCTGACTTAGAAAAATATTTGGTGATTGTTAAGGCAGAGCAGGGGCCATTCTCAGTTCATCTGAGAGCTCTTGGAGAGAGAGCCCACTCCACGCAGACGTGGGTTTGAGAAGGTGCCAGTGCCCGCTCAGAGGCCAGGAGGGTGAGCTAGCAGGGAGCTCCGGTGCCTGTCCTACAGGTGAGCGGGCAGTGACGTGCAGCCGTGACGTGGGCCCAGCGTGCGCTCCTCAGACCCGCAGCCTCCGCCTCCCGTGTCAGGAGCCTGCTGCCGAGTCTCCCCTGGGCTCTGGGGCGGGGCCGGGGCGCAGGTCGTCCTGGCCTTCCACCGTGCGCTGTGCTGAGCCCAGTTTCAGAAGTAGCAGGGTAGGCCGCCTCCTGGGGTCCTGGCAGCATTGGCTCCAAGTTTTTTGGGAGCCAGGTCAAGAAAGAGGCAAAAGCAAACACAGATTCCGAAAAGCAAATACCGAGTGGAGGAGTCAGGAAACCCAGAGTGCAGCGCTCCGTGGCGCCGCCCTGGGGTCTCTCACCTGCCCCCAGCGTTGGCAGCTGAAGTCTCCGACCACTTTGTCGTCCTTCTGCAGTCACCGGCGTGTAGGAGAAACCCGGGCCTGATGGTGAAGCCCCACTTCCACTCGCGGAGGTAAACTCACCTCCGGCTTGGAAGCTGTGGGTTCGCGAGCCGTCAATGGGCGGGATGCTTTCCTGCTCTCGGGCTTCGAATCTTAAATCAGAGGCTTTCACGGAGCCACGCGGGCCTTGCTAATTTCCAGGCCGTCTTAATTCGAGATTCAGGAAGCTATACGCGGAGAACCGTGTCTTCTATCTGCTCGAGGCAACGCTGTTCCCTAATCCTGTTCCGGCCACGAGGACATTCGCCTTCCCATGCAGAAGCCACCGGGAAGCAGTCAGCGCGGGTGGAAGGCGCCTCCCCCCACCCCCGGGGGCTGCGCCTTAGGGGCAGGTGCAGCCACAGGACACCCCCAGGCCGAGGACCGCCCCTCAGCCCCACGTTGGGAGACAGTGGGAGGCACCTGGGCTCTGACACCTGTTGCGGGCGTGGGCAGCGCCCTCCTCTGGCTCCTGGAGCAGGCGGCGCCTTCGCCACCCGCCCGCAGCCCCCTCCCACTCGCGCGCAAAGGGACGGCGGTGGCGACGCGGGGTGTGGGGCAGGCCAGGGGGGAGGTGGGATTCACTTTGCGGATTGGGGCTCGCAGCTGTCACTCCGGAAGGGTGGGGCATTTTTAAAAAAGACAAATCTTCGAGGCAAAACCCGGAGACCGCGCAGGGCGCTGTGGTGATCACCGGCGCTCCGGATGCAGCGGCGGCGGAGCGGGGCCGCGGCGCCGGCTGGCGGGCGGCGGCAGCTGCGGCGCACAGCCGCGTTCCCGCGCCGGCCGGGCCTCCCCCGCGCACATCTGGCCCGCCTCCCGCGGGCGCCGGGGGGAGCCCCGCGCCTCCGAGGCCGGCTGTGTGCTCGGCGCGCATAGAGCCCAGCCAGCGCGGCCCGGGCCCGGCCGAGGCGGCGGCGCGCAGAGCGGCTGCGCCCCAGCAAACTTTGGGCGCCCGAGTGCGCGCGCGCGCGAGCCCCGGGGCGCGGCGGCCGGCCCGGGATGGGGGCCGCGTGCCAGGGCGCCCCAGGCCGCCGCGCGCTCCGGCCCACCCGCGCGGGGGCCCCAGCGCCGCATCTGCCCGCGCCCCGGGCACCACAGCCCCGCCGCCCCGCTGCCTTCCGCGCCCGCGCCGGCTAGCCCCGGAGTCGCCAGCCGCGGCCTCCGCGGGCCCCGCGTCCCCCCTCCCGGAGGCTGCCTCCCGGGGCCACTCTTCGCTTGGGTAAACAGGACAGGAAAAAACCACTGTGGATTACATTTTTTTAAAATCGTGGTTGGGGGTGCAGGAGGGAGGTGGGGTTTGCCTGCGCGCGTGTTGGGAGAAGTCCGGAGCCCGCGCCTGGTCGTCGCCTCCCGGCCGGGCCATGAGCTGCCCAGAGGAGGGCGCAGAGCAGCGGGGCCGCTCGGGCTGCTAAGCGGGACTCCTGCGCCACCCAGCCCTGCTCCGGCCTTCCGGGAGCTCGGCCTCGATCTCTTCGCCTGGACGGCGCCGGGGAGCAGAGGATCCGCGCTCCGGGTCTCCGGGATGTGCGCGTCTGAGATGGGGACGCCGTGGCATCACTGGTCCCCCGTGCTCATCAGCCTAGCCGCCCTGTTCTCCAAAGGTGAGGACGCCGCCGCCCGGGTCCGAAGGAACTTTGCTGGGAGTGAGTGTGGGGGGTGCTTGCGAGGCGGGGGCGCTGGAGAGAGGGCGACGTGCGGGGCGTGTGTGTGCATGCGCGCGTGCGGCGGCTCAGGTGCTGGCGGCCCCGGGCTTGGCCGCAGGTGCCTCCCCCGGAGGGCTGGGCATGGAGGCCCTGGCGAGGCTGCGAAGGAACAGGAGGGAACCCGGGAAATTGGCGCTGTTGCCAGGAGGCGCTGTGAGGCAGGGGAGCAGAGCCAGGGCCGAGAGAGAGCGCAGGTGGCCGCAGGGCCGAGCCCCGCGCGCAGAGAGGGGAAGGGAATGACCTGGCACATTCCGGGAACTGGGGACTGACCTGTCCAGCTGGCACGGAGCTGTCCGGAAATCATTTCAGAGCAGTCCTGCTGTGTGGGCTGCTGTTGAGTGCGTCCCACGGTGCTCAGCGTGCGGCCTGGAGGTCAGCCAGGAGGAGGGGGGCCCGCGTCTCTCGAAGGGGCTGCTGCGGCTGTGTCAGCGCGGGGTCTCACCCTGGGCACAGACCCCTGTGACCGCGGGGCCCTGGATTGAGGCTGTGAGCGAGGCCGGGGCTCCCTGTCTGTCTCCTGCTTCCTTAGGCAGCGCACGGTCTGTCCTGGGAGGAGCCAGCCTGGAAGCTCGGGCAGGGGTCCTCGAGGCACAGTCCTTACACTGGCGAGGTGGATTGCAGAGAGCACCAGCGCCTGCTCCGGGCTGGCTGGACCCCACCGAGCGCTGCCTCCACAGAGACATGGAGTCCTAGTCGCAGCTGTGCGCTGGAAAGCCCGCGGACGTGTTTTTCTGCGGAGATGAGCTCTCCTGGAGAAAGTTCAGAGCCAGTTACCGTGCGCAGAGCACGCTGGTCCTGTGGACTCTGTGTTCCGTGCTCTCGTTCAGCATCACGGGGTGGGGGGGTGTCTTGTTTTGAATCTGGCCCTGGATTTGGAAAACCGACCCCCTGGTTTCTGTGCTGGCATATTTAGGAAGAGGGCGTGGCCTGCCCTGTTCCAGTCCTGCCGAGTGTGGTTGACAGGGGCCCACATCTCCTAATCGTGGGTAGGAGCAATCCCAAGGAGCAGCCTTCTGAGGTCTCGGGTGTGCCGGGCACCCGGGAGAGAGCTGGTGCACTGAATGGAGCCAGCTCAGGCAGCTGTGAGGTTAAAACCACACAGACCCAGGCCGGCGCCGCGGCTCACTAGGCTAATCCTCCGCCTAGCGGCGCCGGCACACCGGGTTCTAGTCCCGGTCGGGGCGCCGGATTCTGTCCCGGTTGCCCCTCTTCCAGGCCAGCCCTCTGCTGTGGCCAGGGAGTGCAGTGGAGGATGGCCCAGGTGCTTGGGCCCTGCACCCCATGGGAGACCAGGAAAAGCACCTGGCTCCTGGCTCCTGCCATCGGATCAGCGCGGTGCGCCGGCAGCAGCGCGCCGGCCGCGGCGGCCATTGGAGGGTGAACCAACGGCAAAGGAAGACCTTTCTCTCTGTCTCTCTCTCTCACTGTCCACTCTGCCTGTCAAAAAAAATTAAAAAAAAAAAAAAAAAAAAAAAAAACCACACAGACCCACAGCAGCAGCCTGGCTGATGGAACATGGCTACGAGGCAGGCTTGTTATTGGTTGTCACTTGGTTTAATATAAGAACAGCCTCTTCTGTTTGTGTGCTGCAGTAACAAGGTGTTATTAAGAAGGGTCCAGAGGGGATGTGTTTTCTTGGTGTGGACGCAGCTCTCGGATTGATTTCCTCATGCGACTAAGCGGTGTTGAAGGAGCTTTAGTTCCTCCGATGCCCGGGAACTCCCACCCGTGGGAACAGCGCACAGGTCCTTAAGTGAGGGCCCACGCTACCAGGCAGAGGCCGCTTCTCAGGTGGCAGAAGTCAGGCTGTGAAAGGATGGTGCAGACCCAGGTGTGACGTGGGATCAGACCGTGCACGGATGAGATGGTGCAGACCCAAGTGTGACGTGGGGTCAGACCGTGCACGGATGAGATGGTGCAGACCCAAGTGTGACGTGGGGTCAGACCGTGCACGGATGGGAGGGTGCAGACCCAGATGTGACGTGGGATCAGACCGTGCACGGATGGTGCAGACCCAGGTGTGACGTGGGATCAGACCGTGCACGGATGAGATGGTGCAGACCCAGGTGTGACGTGGGATCAGACCGTGCACGGATGGGAGGGTGCAGACCCAGGTGTGACGTGGGGTCAGGCTGAGTGGACGCCTCCCGTGAACCTGGCATGTGTGACGCGATGTGTTTGCATGTTGGGTCAGGGAACTCCATTCCACCAGACAGCTCAGCGGTGCATTAAACCCGTGTGCAGACCTCACATGGCATTGAGCTCAGGACTGAACCCAGGATGCAAGAAGCAGTGATTGTCTGTAATATGCCAGGAATAAAGAGGAAGAATCTTAACACCCCCCCCCACAATCACCACCACCCCTACCACCACCATCACTACCACCATCACCACCATCACCACCCCTACCACCACCATCACTACCACCATCACCACCTCCCCCCCATCATCATCACCACCACCACCACCACCCTCACCATCACCACCACCCCCCCCACCACCATCACTACCACCATCACCACCACCCCCTCTACCCTCCTCACCACCATCAAGTGCACCATCAACATAATCACCATCTCTTTCACTTCTTATTCCCCTTCGTATATTTAAGGACCATCACTTTTACGATATTTTAAAACCCAAGAATAATTTTGGGTTAATTAAGGAGTTCAACCAATGGTATTAAGTAGAACAAAACAAAATACTAAAAGGAATAAAGTAGTAAGTTGTTCCTTGACAGGGCCAAGGGCTGATCAACTCCCTGGAGCAAGGACAGTCTATTCAATAAATGGTGCTGGGAAAATTGGATTTCCATGTGCAGAAGCATGAAGCAAGACCTTTATCTTACACTTGACACCAGAATCCACTCGATATGGATCACAGATCTAAATCAAAGATCGACACTATCAAATTATGAGAGAACATTGGAGTAACCCAGGAAAGATATAGGCACATGCAAAGACTTCTTGGAAAAGATCTCAGAAGTCACACGCTAGTCAAAGCAGATTTACAATTGGGGATTACATCAGATTTGAGAAGTTTTCTGTA